TCTCTCAAAGTGGAATGAATATATATATATATATGTGTATATATATATATATATATACATATATATATATATATATTTATTTATTTCTTTTTTACATTTTGGATGTAGACCAGAGCTGTCTAAAATATCTCTTCATAGTAGGCTATAGGGATGTACCGGGAGATAGAATAAAATAAGATCTGAGAATATTCTCAGTTCATTTGAGTCTTTCTGCTTTGACAATCAGCAGGGATCATAAATTTGAAGCAAATCGTGGCTTTTCTGCATCTGGGTCTGTATTTAAGACTGAGGAAGACTCTCTCTGAAGAGCAGCTGCTGGTGGAGGAGGTGCAGGAGGGACTCCACGGTTGGGGGGGATGGCTCCTGATGACATCTGTCGGAACAGGGTGACTCTCTGGGGGACAGTGCCCCTGCTCCCTGCCTGAAGGCCTGTGCCGTGAACGGCTGTCACGGGTTGAGGGATGGAGGCCAGGGACTCGCCCACAGTGGGATGAGGTCTGGAAATCAAGGTGGAAACCTCATGAGGCAGCGAGGGCTGCGAGGCTGAGAGGGGCCTGACTTCTCGGGTCAGGCTGGTGTTATGCAGAGCCTGAGTGCTCTTGTGCACTTCGTTTTTCGGCGTGGAGCTGCTGGGTGTCTGTGGCTGTTGGGGCTGCTGCTGGGTCTGCGGTGGCTGGGACTGCTGTAATTGCTGCTGCTGCTGCTGCTGCTGCTGCTGCTGCTGCTGCTGCTGCTGCATGAGTGACAACTGGGAAGTAGTGGGAGAGGCATAGTGGAAAGTTCGAGTGGCCAGTGGGCTCTGTACAGGAGGGCTGCAGACCGCAGTGGTATAAGAGCAGGGTGAGAGGATGGCTGACGGTTGGGGCGTCTGTGTGCTGGGACTGGGGGAATGCAGGTTGCTATGAGACAGACTGGTTGCTGTGTACACCGGCGGTGATTGTGTCCTCATGCGGGAGGTCGGCGTAGTAGCTGAAGATGTGGAATTCAGGGCTGTCATCTGTGGATAATTGATTGGAGCGATTGCTTGCACCATCTCCCTGTCGTGTTTCACAATCTGCTTCAGGATCTCGTTCTCCTGGTTGTTGAAAACACCAGTGTTAAGATCCTTCTGGAACTTTTGCAGAAGAATTGAATTTTTCTTTCCTGTCAGTGAAAGAAAAATAAGCACTTAGAAAGCCTACAAATGACTGATGGCAACTCCAAGTGAGAGTGGCTCCTGAAGACAAAAGTCTGTCTGAGTTCCATAGAAGAGGTTGAAAAGCCAAGTACTCACCTGCAGACACCAAACAGAAATGTGGCTCCTGCCCTTCAGGCTTCCTGCATCATTCTGGAAAACCTTACCTTCTATGCAAGTCCAGTTGAAATGTCTGTAACATGGCAAAAGCCATCTTACAAAAGAAATGGAGATATTTGACATGAGGGCTACTTTGAAGACTGGGAGAAGAAAGGACATTTGGATCAGGATGGGCCTGGAATCAAAATTTAAGTTGAAAGCTGCTTTTTCAAGAAAGGAAAATGAAACACTTACTATGTGACAGGCACTCTACAAAAAGCTGCAGGTAGATATGTTTTATTTACCAGAAAGGAGACTGGGACATAGCAAGGTTGAGAACAATGCCCAAGAAAACAGGGCTCATAAGTAACAGGGCTGGAAAGGGAAAACAGTAAATCTGATCATAGATATATTATAGACAACGAACCAGCTACATCTGTATCATGTGAATGCTTGCTAGAAATGCAGTCTCTTGGCCTCATCTACTTGCTGAACTAGATGCTGCATTTTATTAAGACTCCCCAGGCTATTCTCGTGCAAGTTTCAGAAGCAAAGGCCTTTGCTTTTGACCAGTGCCCTAGCCAGTGATTCTCTACCCTGCCTGCATATTTTTCCCATCTTTGGAGCTTTAAAACATACTAATTTCCATCCCCAATAAGCAGACATGTTACTTTAACAGCAAGTTTCCCCAGGGGATTCTTATGTGTAGCCAGATTGAGAACTATGTTATAATCTTTCCTCTTCTGAAAAGTTGTGAGGATCAAGGGATCTAGTGCATAGCAGGCTCTCAGCTCACTCTGGAACCTCAACAACCATTACCTCTCCTTCCTGCCATTGTCTTTGAAGTGGTTTGCAATTAGCAGACATTTCCGGCAGAATAACTATTAGAATAAATAGTAAATTGGTGAAAGAGTGGAAAATCAGTGACTTTCAATGATATTATTGATAAAATACCCAGGTGAATATGATAACTAAATGTGAATCAATTTGCCACAACACTAAATAAAGTACAACATCCAAAGTGACAAGATATATTTTTGAATGAAAATATATGTTATAATTTACTTGATATTGGGAAAAGCAATCATTTTTAATATTTTAATTTAATTTTTTATTTTTTTTTAAAAAATTGATATATAATTGACATACAATATACTATTAGTTTCAGGGTGCAATCATTTAAAAATGACTGCCAGAATAAATGGTTACCACTCTCCAGGAAAAATTGTCCGAATTTCCCAAAGAACAAACACTTTTAGGTTAGTAATAAATATAAATGCTTATGTAGAATATTCCCTTAACTAACTATAGTATATATTTTTAAGCAATGGCCACAAAACTGAGAAGGATAATATTTCTTTATGATCATGTGATCATAGCACTTCATAATCTAAGTATCTATGACTTTGTGGAAAAATACTATAACTTTTAATGCACTGTTAGAATTTTATAAGGATAAAAAATGCAATGTTTGGTGCTTACTAGTAATTTCATTTCCCATATTATTGATTACAAACCATTCTATCAAACTTTCTTATAAAAAATTAACTGCAATAAATTCGATCAGAGTGAAACTGTATCAGATAAACAGGTATCTTCTATGGAAGTATCCTGATTCTAATGCTTTCTCTAAAGACGTTGAACTGGTTTAGGAAACTACTCATATGCTAGAAATTAGTCTCTAGCTCTACCATGAACACTCACTCACACGCCATAAAGAAAGAACTTATTTTCAAATTAAGTGAAAATGCCTCAGGAGCACTCACTTCTTTTATGAGCAGCGTCTCTCAGGACACTATGTTCTGTTAAATCTCCAAGTTGTCAATATGCATTTCCAATGTATGTGTTATGCCTAAAGTCAATGTCCAAATACTACCTTTACTTTTCTAACATAATTTCTGATCCTTATGTAGTCTGTGGTCCTCCAAATACACAGGGAAAGAAATATGCAAAGTGCAGAAGAAACGCTGACCTAACAATCACAAGTCCTTACCTTTAATTAAGAGTGAAGCAGTTGAAATACCTCTTTGTTTACTTTCAAGTGATCCCAACCCCATCTCCTTTGAGTCCATTGATTCCTTAGTCCCTCTCTACCTCTCTTCAGTAGTACTCACTGTGCTCTAGGTACTGTGAATGTTAACAGTGAATTAGACATGATCTCTACATTTACAAAGCTTAGCATCTCTAGCACAATTACAATGATAAAAGCAGTGTTGCAATGGAGGAACTTCCCCCGGTACTGGAGAACACAGCCAGGGTACTCAGCCTATTAGGGTGTGGGAGGTCACAGAAGGTTTCTACGGGAAAGTGATGTCTAAACTGAGATGTGAAGGTTAGTAGAGTCAATCAGGGAAAGGAGGCGAGCAGAGTAGGGTGGGGGAGGAGAATCTGGAAGTGGAAAATGGATGCACCCCACCTTCTGACATCAGAATGTTCCAGCATATCTTGGGAAGTTAACTGCAAGCCAATCTAATCTAACTTTACTATGGCAATTATTCAAATCTCTTAACTAGTGTAACTAATAAGGCCTAATTTATATATTTTTATTTGGGAGTAGAGAAGACTAAATTTAACTGATGTTTGCAAAGTAAAGCATCTATGTAGGGCATTTCTAGCAAGGCTTTTTCTGCTCGAGTCTGCATTACAAACATTTCAAGAAGTTTTTACTGAGACAGTTACATAACACAAGTTTTCAATTTTTAATATAAGGATAAAATGTAATGTTGATCCTTAAAAAGAAATCCGTGTGATAAAATTTGGTTTGTAATGTAGACTCATACATTAGTATTTTTAGTTCTATAGTAATGATATCTAGAATTTCTATCATTGCTTTTTACCTGAAGATTCAAATTGTATTGGCATCACTGGGGAAATCAGATTGCATAGCTAGTAAAAACAGAGATGAATAAATAAATCTAGAACACTTAGAAGAGAAAGATCTTTCTAGAAATAGGGCTACAGCTAATTGCTATTTCTATGCTAATTAACGAGCAATCTATGAACTAGCATTTGGGACTGATGATTGCAAATATGTGTCAGTCCACTAGATTAAAACTAAATTATGCATAAAGATAGAAAACTAAAGAGAGTACCTATCCGATCTAGCCGGTCGATGGCAACCGTCTCAAAGGCTCTTCTCATCATTGGGTATTCCTCCAGGACCTCATTGAAATTGTCCACAGAAAGTGAATAAAGACGACAATACGTATCAGCTCGAACACTGGCAGTGCGGCGTCCCTTGGTCAGCAGGCAAATCTCTAAAACAAGAAGGAAAGATTTCTTCGGTAATTTTCTTTTAAAGGCCATTAAGGCCTCCAACAATTAAAAAAAAAAAAAGTCTCACAGTATGAGAAACCAATAGTTAGCAGCATTTTCTATTTTATCAGGAAATTCCTTCTGACAATTAAAAGTATCCAATTGCCAATACTCAATCTTGAAATCTTCCTTTTAAAAAAAAAAATGGAGGCTTTTTCTTGAAAGGGAAGGCTTAAATAGATTTATCTATTCTCCGGCTCCCATTCCAACCCCCACGGAATAATATAAAAGATTCAGAAAAGAGAAGAATAAATCCACAATGGAGTTGAAGACAGAAAGGGACTAAGCTCAGACAGAAGTTTTTGTGAATTCTGGAAGGCAGAAAGCAGATGGTACCATATAGACAGAAATCAAAGTGAACCCAAACATTGGCTTAGAAAGTTCTATGATCAAGCCAAGCCAGATCAGCTGAATGCATTACAGGCATGCCTTATGTAGTTCATATAGTCCCAATAAGATCAATATAATTTTTTTATTCCAGTTGCACACAGAGACTTTCTATTTAAATAATTTCAAAGGAGAATCCTTCATTGAAATTTAGATTCTCATATACGGTAAGCAAATATTTGCAAAATTGGATTTCCTTATGTGCTCTCAAAATAAACGATAAAAGCAATAACTTTTCTTTCATTATCCAACATTTATTAATTAAACTCCTTGATCTTTTTTTTTTTTTAAATTAGAAACAATTTAAAAGTTTAGCTTCAGAATAACCAATTTAAATAAAGGAATGGCAGAATTATTTCTGAAATGCACAGTCTCCTAACAGGAGGAAATACAGAAAAATAATTATTGCAATGAGACTAAATTCACACTCCTCTGAACTTATTTAAAGAAGTTAAGTTCACATTGAAAAACATCAGGAATAAATTATGTAGCAGGTGCTATGTATGTGACATTAGGGTTGGAAATATGAATCAAACATAGTATCTACTTTATTACTTATATGCTGATGGTAAAAAGAAAAAGAGTTTGTCTTAATTAAGAATTAATTTAAATGCAATCTGGTAAGAACAATAATATAGAATGCGGGCATTATGGAACTAGTAAAGAAGCACAACTGAACCGATCTGGGAAGACAGAGGATTTTAGGGAATGCCACCTAATTATGTTGTGCATGCTCGTAAACATGTTGCAAATGTAATAAATAATATTGTGAAGCGTTCATGTTTGTGTGCATGTTCCTGTGTGTGTGTATGTGTGTGAGTATTTGGTGTGTGTAGGAAGATGAATCTATTTTGGTCAATATTTAATCATAAAGCATATTATCATACCATAGAATTTGCTGGTTACTCTAATCTAAATGATATAATAAAAGAAAGTATTTTCAACACTACTCTCAAATTAAATTCCTGTGTCATTACAGTACTAATGCCATGTTATAAAATTTATGATTGCCACATTGTGATAAACAAGCTGATGAAAAATGTTTTACTGCTTAGTGTTCCTTAAAAATCTGCATATTATAAGTGTCTAAAGAATGGTTATAAACCTTATGGAAAATAAACCAATAATATGAAAGAAAGGTCTTAAAAAGTATCCATACTCTTCAACCTAAGAATTTCACCTGGAAATCTGACCAAAGGAAATAGTCTGTAACTAGAGTTATGTTGTTTATGGCAATATACATTATAAATTTATACATACATATAAAAATATGGAAATGTCTTAAATGTTTAACAAATCAAGATTCATAGGCAATTATGTGGAAGTTATTAAAAGCAAAGCTTTTAAAGTTTATGTGATAACAGTAGAAATGTCATGAAAGTTTAAGTCAGAACAGCAGGACACAAGACTATAATTATAATATGATAAAAATGATCACAAAATAATGACATAAATAAATAAGATGGCAATGAAATAAGATGGCACAACAAAACATTGTTCTCTGGATGAAAAATATTCTTTTATGCAGTTGTTCTGTACATCTTTTTCTTTTTTCAACTTTCTTCTATATAAATTATTTTATTTGTCGACATGTATAACGTTCAAAAATGTTATTTAAAAATTAATAGCTAAGTGCACAGAATAGAAAAAAATATGAAGGAATATAAATAAACTTACTCATAGTGATTATGATTATAGATTTCCTCAACTTTACCCTCCATTCTTTCAAATATATTTTTATTTTGGCACTTATATTTTAAACTTCTAAATGCTTTCCATTTTCCTATGTTTGTTGCTTTTTCTCATTATATTTTTTTCTTTTGTTGTGAATGTAATATCCTCTGTCTCCTGATAGGTGTTGAGTTTTGGTTTTGAATGATGGATATATGATGCGACATGGCTATATCTCAGTTTATTTCACAAACATAAGTGACGGAAGCAAGATATGAGAGTCTACATATTATATGATTCCATTTACATAAAAATTTAGGAAAGACAAATATACAGAGACTGATAACAGATTAGTAGTTGCTTGGGACAGTGAGTGGGAAAGGAAAGTAACAGTAAATGCACACAAGGAATCTTACGGGGTGATGATAATGTTCTAAACCTGATATATAGTGATGGTTTCATAATTTGGCAAATTTACTAAAAACCTGAATTGTACACTATAAGTGGGTGAATTATATATGTAAAATTTATTGCAATAAAACTAAATGAAAACAAAAGAGCTCTAGTTTTTATATTTTATTTCTATTGTATTTTATATTTTAATTTATTTTGTTTTCTGAATTATTTCTCTTTACTCTGGAATCATTATTTTTGTCTCTGTGTCTAGATCTTTCCTTTGTATGTTGCATGATTTCTTCAGGTTGACATCAAATGTATTGATCTGGAGTTTCTTTTTAGGGTGAATGGGTGGGAAGTTTGTCCTCATATTTTCCTAAATGCCAGAATGAGAAGGGTTTTATTTAGTTCACAGTTACCACAACCACTATCTCCCTGAATCATTCTAGTACTCTGCCTTGTTTAATTGATTTGTGGAAGAACCACTGACTTTTCCTGCCCAGTGGAATGAATGCCTGACTACAGGCTGTTCTGCAGTGTGGATTGAGGGACTGGGGTCCATTGCACCATATGCAGACCTGTGGTAAGTCACCACTTCCCCCCTCACTTCTCATTTGGTCCTCCATGGTCATGCTGTCTCTTAGCTAGCAGCTTCTCTAGGGATCTGCCAGGAGATCTACTCTCTCTTTAGCCACAATCTTCCGTATATTCCAATTTTTGGCTTAACAGAAATTTATTTTCTCGCAGTTCTGGAGACTAGAGGGCCAAAATCAGGGTGACATGGGGTTCTGGTGAGAGCTTTCTTCCTGGCATGCAGAGGGCCATCTTCTCACTGCACTCCCACATGGGAGAGAGAGACAGAGAGCTCCCGTTTCTTCCTTTCTTCATATGATCACTAATCCCTCATAAAGGGCCAATCCTCATGACTTCATTAAACTCTAATTACTTCCCAAAGGCACCATTTCCAAACACCATCACATTGGGGGTTGGGGATTCAAAATAACAAATTTAAGGGCATCACATTTAGTCCATAACACCACTGCTATTCTCCTCGATGAAACTTGAAATACAATTTATGTCCCTCCAGCTTTTTAAAAAAATTTTTATTCCAGCTTTATTGAGGTATAACTGGCATATAAAAAACTGCACATATTTAATGTATACAAGTTGATGAGTTTGGACAAAGACATGCACCCATGAAACCGTCACCATATCCTTCATTTCTAAAAGTTTTTTTAACTGCATGTTACAGAACGCTTGAATAACACTGGCATATCTAATACAATAATTTAATTATATTACAAAGCAAAAGTCTGGGGTCAGGCAGGGTCAGTGTTGGTTTAGCAGTGGCGACATGGCACTGTGCTAGCATGACTTTGTTTTGCTTGGCCTCCTCTCATGATCACAAATTGACAGCAATAACTACAAGCATTATATCTATATCCTCACCCAACAGCATCCAAAGAGAGAGAACTTTCCATATTTACTTCTTTTTATTATATGAAGGCAAAACTTACAATGAAGTTCCATAACTTACTTTCTCTAACTCCTCAACTGATCAGAACTGTATTACATGACCACCTTTAGCTACGAGGGAGGATTTAAAAAGGAATATTTGGTAATCCGGAGTAAGATAACTTTTATTAGTGATTGAATTAGGTAAATATTACTTTAATCACTAGGATTGTATGTGTTGCTGGCCACATAAAATCCAAATTCTATTAACAAGGAAGAAAGGGCAATGGTTGCTGGCCAGGAAACCAATATTATCTGACACTCCACTCTTATATCTATTTTCTGTCTTCTAGAAATGTGTCACAGCGTCTCATCTGACTGTTTCCAAATACACACTCGTGCATCAGATCTCCGTGGTCTGGGTTTACATTTTATTCCTTTTCTGCTTTTAATTTGATCTTTGCAAAGGGAGGAGATAAAGACATGTGCTGAGGATCATCTTCATTAAGAAAAGGACTTTAATTTCCTTTTCTATATGCTTAAAAATTATTTGGACACTTTACCACAAGTATATATTTATGTTACTTTTGTAGTTTAAAAAATAAATTTAAACGTTAGAAAAAATAGCTATCGGTATTTGTAGTTATTTTAGAGATATGGTAAAATAGTTTTATTTTAGCATAAATATAAGTTTATTCATATTTTATCTAAATCATTCTCTGCAAAGGATTTTCTGGCTTCTCTATCTGCAGTCCTCATATAATGGATATACAATATATGTAGCTAAATGGAGTAGATGTGGATATATTACATGATATGGGTCCCCATTACTAATTGATCAATTAAATATTGCTATTGGTAAGAAAAGAAATTTTCCTAGAGGATGCTTTTTAAATAATATTTTAGGCTTATATAAAAAATTAGTATATGTGTTAGGAGATCTTACCCTAAAGTTTTCTTATATTGCTTATATACATATATTTCTTATACAAAACTTCAGAGATGTTATTGCTCAACAAATCTTACTTCTTTA